AAATTTCAAAATTTTTGAATAAAAAATAATAACAATACTAATTGTAAAATAATTTATAACATTTATATGAATGATTCAATACCTGAATTTTTCAAAGATTGTCCACCTTTGATTCATGTTTGAGATCTAATTGCATTGTAAGATTCAATGACTTCTACTTATTAACAACATTATCTTGGAACTCTTGTAAATCGAGACACTCAATATACTAGGTCTTCTGTAATATGACACTACTAAATCTATAAAATTTAAAAGAATGAATGAATGAAAGATATAAAAAAAAATCAAGAAATGAAAAAGAAGCAAACAAAGGGAGAAAACTAAATTATTGGAGAAAGTAGGGAAGAACTCAATACATGCAAAGGATGCAAATGATGGATATAAGTTGAAAAACTTTTAAGATTATAATACCTTTTGAATTCTATTAATTCCATTTAAAGTAAAATCATAAATGGTTGAAAATAAAACATAACCTTTCATATTTAACTTCTTCATATTCGTAAATTTCACTTTTTTATTAATCAAAGTTATTAAAAATATAAAATGACATGATTGAATAATAAAAATAATTTTTTTAGTACACAATAACTTATTAATATTCGTTGTTATATAGTGTTCAAAATATCGATGTCGATGAAAATGTCGAGGTCTCGATTTTACGGACATGTTAATGGACATGGATATTTCGAGAAAAATAATGGAAATTGTGGAAATTGATGGAAATTTTTTGAATTAGCAAATAAAACTTGAATGGTAGCTTAATTAGCTTATAATTGATCACCTTTAACATTAAATGTAAGAATATGACCATTTTACTTATGAAAATATCGATGTTGATGGAAATATCGAAAAAAGATTTTTTCCTTTAATGAAGATGGATGGAAATTATTTGAATATGTAAAGTAAACTTTAATTGTAAACTTTTGACTACTTGTATTTTTTGTAATAGAACTCATTTAGAAATGAGATAATTACCGACTTGGTTTCTAAACACATTTTTAAGCTCTAATTAACTCGTGCGTGCTTACTTTTTACCCACTTCTCTTTTCAAATTTGAATTTATACATTTTTCAAACAAATTTTCAAATCAATCATTAATCCAAGTTTCCAATCAAATTTACACAATTTCCAAACACTTCAACCTCATAATTGTGTAATTCGTCCAAATTATCTATCAATGGGATCCATATGTGCTTCATATTCTACTCATTTGAGCAACTACCTTCAAAACTTTCAGTCTAGGATGACTTGGGAGAACTATTRTAATTTATATCAAAGTTATCAACATAGTGCATCAGATCCTCCGAGATTATCTTTTTTATATTAATTAAGTTACCTATTCTACTTCATGTTTCACCAATATTTGTATATAATAATATTTTATTTTTTAAAAATTCTAACATTATTTCAATCTTTATATATGTCAATATTTCATATATATTGTTCAATTGTGTAACTAAGGACTAGATTGGATTAGAAATTATCGATAAAGCAAATTTCAAATCTCATTATACTTTATACAGTATTAAAATGCTAATGTTTCATTGAACAGACTAAGATTACAATCATCGAGGTTGTGAGAAATTATAGACTGTAGTGGTATAGTAGGAAGATGTTGAAAATAAAATAACCTCAAAAGAAGAAGAGGAAAAAAAAGACATATCGACATTTGAGTCGACATGTCGACATGTCAACGACATAGGGGGAGAAGTTATGTCCATATCAAGCATGTCGATATTTTGAACCGTGTTGTTACACAATAATTAACACTTCATGGGAAAGGGATGAGAGAAAATTAATACACAAAATAGTGGAGGGAATGTCGATAGAGATTTATATTTAAGGGGCAAAATTGCCTTCAAAGTAATAGTGACAAAGTTTAGAATAAAAGTGTAAAATTAAAAGAAAAAAGTTGATTACAAAATAATTTTGAAATAAAAATTTTGAAGGTGTATGTTAGTCGATTTATGTTTGGTTTATTCCTTTCTAAACCCTAAAAAAGAGAGGAAGAGATAATAGTTATTTGGGCGGGTTAATTTGAATAAGGAATTTAAACGAGGGAGAAACAATTAATCAAAGTAAAGGAGAAAGAAATATAATGAAATGGTTAAGAGAGAGAAATTTGAGAAAAGTGGAATTTGTAAAGATGGAGATAAGGTCTTTTGAAATGAAATGAATTGGAAAAAAAAAAAGATAATGTCACAACCATACTAGTTGAGAGTAGGTTGCGACACCCACACAGTGAATAAGTGGTGTCACATACATGTGTCGTCCATTGGCCATGTTGAGTGTCGAGAGACAAGTATCGTGATGCGACCAAGGAGGATGGTGCATCACCTAACACACTCTATGGATGTGCACAAGAATGCTAGAATAAGACACACGTATAATGCAAGGCGGAGGTGATGTTAGTGGTGTTGGTGACAAGTTTAGTCGGGGCCAGTTGGGCCCCGAGTAATGACCCTAGAAGTCAGGGTTCCATCAAGAATTTGGACAAGAAACTTTAGAGTTAGATGCAAATTAGTGAGATATGCAAACACGCCAAGTTTCGTGTCGATCGGAGTTCAGACGTGCATTCTACATTCGCAAGTGACTTCTCGCCACTTTGCACGTACATGCCTATCGGACCAAGTTTGCCTTAGAATGCTACCATAGAGGGAGGCATAGTGTCAGCTCTCCACCACCCCTAGGCCCTGTGGCCTAA